GAGCAGGACTCATTGCCCTACGTGGGCCAGCTTACGGGAGTTGTCCTGGAGGAGGAAAACGATCTCTACATGGAGTCAGAAGATTTCACATCGGCTTTCAACCTGTTTGCAGTGCCGGAGTCCTGGCTGCCGCACTTTGCTTTCTCGAAGAAAGTCTGCGCCAGCGCTTTTGGCGGAACGAAGGGCCACGAAGTACGACCAGCCCTGGCGGTGGTACCGATGGGTTGGCACTCTGCGGTGGCCCTTATTCAAGCAGCGGTCAGGAACATTGTGTTCACGCGCTGTGGGGTCCCGAGGGCAACTTCTGTCGAAAAGGGGCTCCCACTTCCGGGTACGAATGAGATGACGGTGGTATACTTGGACAACTTTGATGAACTGAGGAAAGTTCGAAAATTTGGCAGTGAGCTGGAGCTGGGACGAGCCTCGCCAGCCCACCAGCGATTCAATGAGGTGTGCGATGAGCTGGGCCTGTCGAGGAATCGGGCAAAGCAGCTGATTATGTCCCTTACAGGGGGTATCCAGGGAGGTGAGCTGGATGGAAAAACAGGTATCCTGAAAGTTGCAAAGGACAAGCTCCTGAGCTTTGTGGCCATCTCCCTGGGTATGCTGCAATCGGAAAACTGGAAGGAATTCCACATCAGGCATTGGACTGGGAAGGCGGCGTTTGTTGCTGCCTTCAGAAGGCCTCTGTTCGCCATTTTGGAGTCGGTTTTCCCATGCATCAGGGACAGCGTAAAGGCTGATGTCAGGCCTGGCTGGAAGGAGGCAGAAGAGATACTCAGCTTTATGATCCTTGCGGATGGGGGTCAAAATTTCCACTACCAAAAGGCTGTGCTTGAGGGCCCCGGCGAGCTCAATTTCAATAAGAAAAGTGCTTTCCCAAACCGAGCTTGATCACATACTTTTGTAGGTGGGCTGTGTTTTTGTAGAACTTTTGAATCTTATAAAAACCAAGAGTACTTTTGTAGGGAACATGTTTTTTTGTCATGCAAAACAGTGACCTCAAGAGCCCCCATTTAGTAGGAGACATGTTGTTCAATTGAAAAAGGGTCAAAATGATCCTTTTGGACTTGGGCTCGCATTTTGTAATGATGTAAACTGTTTTTGCATTTGGTAGGCATTCATGCCCGTTCCTACAGTAGCCTTTTTTTTTGGCTTAGGGATTTTCACAGTTGGGCTACAAAATGCCTCCCCCTCCGGGGCTTCCTGCGGATTGCCCTAATTGTGGACAGCCATATGATGATGCGTTTTGAAACACATGGGCATAGATCGAAACACATGGGCATAGATCGAACTCAGGGCGATGAAAAAAGTCCGCATTGAAACTCAGGGCCATTCCCCGGGGGAGACCGGTGGTTCACTACCTTTTGTTTTTTTTTCAAGTTCAGACTCAAAATCAATGAAAAATGGGCTCCCTACAAAAAGGAAACCCGTTCTAAGAAACATCAACAAAATGAGCCATTTAGAGATCTATATAGACATCTAAAATCACATTGTCTTTCAGTAGGGGCTTTAGAAGGGTTGGGTGCTTCCTTTTGGTAGGTTTTTTTTTGTTGTTTTTGAGGTCAAGCACCCATTTATGTAGTAGGGGGGGTTGGAGCAAGGCTTTGTAGCTACAAAAAGCGGTGGCCAGCCCACCCCCTGGAATTTCAACCCCCATCCTTGCGGTGCATGCTGAATCGAATCTCAGGTGCCAGGTGTCGGAGACAGTTTCCTGCACTGATGCATCGCCTACGGGCGGGGGATGCGCCACGGCGTCCGCCTTCAAAGACAGAGGGCTGGAGGTACCGCCGGCGATTGAGGAGAAGGGCACGTGTGCCATGTGCTCCCAGGAGCTGGAGTCGGAGCCCGGTCGGGTCAAGTACCCCTGCCCAAGGGATTGTGGGGCCTTTGGGTGCTCAGTGAGATGTGCACAGTCGCACTTCGAGTTTGGGCCCTGTGTGCGGATGGGCTTTTCTGTTCCTCGGTTTGGAGAAAGGTTTTGTGGCCCGAACTATCCGTTGACAAAAGCTGTAGCCCTCCAAGGTGGGGCAGTGCAGCGTCCACTTGACATCTTGGTGTCAGACAACTCTTGGGATTTCTTTTCGGAGCCCGGCCGGAAGGCCTTGGAGCATTTGGAGGAGGATCCAGCCCTGAGGTGGCGGCACTGGGGGCCCAATTGCCGGACGTTTTCAAGAGCTCGTGGAAGGCCGATAAACCTCAAAGGGAAAGGCAAGATCAAAGGACCGGCCCGGGTAAGATCCGAGGCACAACCCTGGGGGCTGGACCGGGTTGGAAAGAACGATCAGGTGAAAGTGAGGCAGGATAACAAGATGGCAAAAAGGAGCCTAAGGGGCCTCGAAGAAGCTGACCGACGGGGAGGCTTCGCGGGTCTGGAACACCCGTATGAGTCCTACCTCTGGTACACTGAGGAGGCAGAGAGGATCCGGTTACGACCGGGGTTCCACACGACGGTCTGGTCGCAATGCTGTTTTGGGGGTCGGCGCACCAAGTGGACATCTCTGTTAAACAACTCCAGACGGGTTCACTTGGCCCTCCACAAGCCAGAATGCCACTGCACGCACCAACAAGCCTATGAGGTCCGTGAGACGCCTCAAGGGTTGGAGTTTGACACGGCCCAGGAATCAGAGTATCCCTGGAGGATGTGCCTGGCCTATGCAGAGGCGATTGTCGCGGACTTGAAGGACTTGGTGATCCCGCCGATCGGGACAGCGAAACTGGACATGGGCCACATGCTGTACAATCAGATCATGGGATCCACTCGTGGGCTCCAAAGTGAAGACTTGGTATACAAGCTGGTGGTGGACGTGGAGAGAATGCTGAGGCAGATGGAACCAGGCCTCGAGCGTCAACACCTGGCCGGCTTGGCCAGGAGTGTCGGCCTCCGGGGAACTGACGTCAGACTGGTGGCAACGAAAGAAGAAGGAAGTGGCCGTGAGGTCCTCACGCCGTACCCCGCGTTCAAGTGGTTTTGGAGGAATGTTTTAGCATACCGCTGGGGGACGCCTCAGCATATCAATGTGCTGGAAATGACAGCGATTTTGACCGAGCTGAGGAGACGATCTCGGGACAGCCGCCAATTCAGGAAGAGGTACATCAATGTCATTGACAGCATGGTTTGTTACTATGCTATGAGCAAAGGACGCTCAGGATCAACACGTCTGAACAGAGTGCTGCGTCGAATCATGTCGGTTGAGATCGCTACGTCCCTTCGACCTCTGATGGTGTGGACCCTTTCAAAGTGGAACTTCTCGGATGGGGCCTCCAGGAAGTACGAGGCCAAGACACCGCCGTGATGCCTCCAAAGTTGCATCTTCGTTTCAAGGGAATCACACCAAAGACAGTAGCACTCTATAGACGTGAAGTCCAACGCTTCCTAGACTATGCCACGGCAGAATTGGGCCGCCTACCCGTCAATGTGGTTGAACTCGACGAATGCATGGGAGAATTCATCAATGAGCTTTACCAGGAAGGTGAAGCGGTTTCACACGCCGGATGGCTGTTGAGCGGGTTCAAAAGGTTCCTGCCTTCGCTATGGCGAGATCTGGTAACGGCCCAGCAGTTCTATAACAACTGGGTTCGTGACCACGTGCCATTCCGGGCCGTTCCAATGCCTTGGGGAGTGGCCAAGACCTTGGCAGCAGCTGCCTGTGAGGGAAGCCATCATGACCTTTCGCTGCTCCTCCTCCTGGGCTATGCCTTCTATCTCCGTACGATGGAGCTGGTCACACTCAAGACCACTGATGTGCATGTGGATCGGCGTTCCGATACCATTATTTTAACCTTGGCGAAGACCAAGACTGCACGCAATCATCAGCAGACAGTGGCCCTTCAGCACTCCGGACTTGCAAAGATCGTGGTGCATCTGCTTGAGCACCTTGCGCCAGGGCCGTTGTGGCGCTTTTCCCCAAGGGGATTCCGGTTGTGCTTTAATGCCATCATAGGCCACTGTCATGCAAATTCATGTGGTTTCACTGTGTACAGCTTGCGACGAGGTGGAGCAACTCATGCCTACGTCTGTTCTCGTAGCTTGGATCTAGTCATAATTCAGGGGAGGTGGAGAGATCAAAGAACTGCAAGAATTTATTTGGACGATGCTCGTGCGTCGCTCCTAAAGATGAACCTTCCTGAAGGGCTTCGACAGGCAATGTGGCGCTATAATAGCTTTTGGCCACGCCTGATTAACAATTAGCTACGCCAAGTTGAAAAAATTGGGCAGGTTGGGTGGCTCTTGAGCCAAGCTGCCTGGGCCGTGTATGCTCTTGAGCCAGGCCCTTTTCTTTATTTCCCTATGAGGAGTTGTTTTTCATGCTGTTGTTGGGTCCCATTTTTTCAGAGCTGATTGGGCAGGTTGGGGATGTTATCATGCCATGGCATGTCCACCCCCGGGTGTGGTCCATGGGGTGAAACCCCTAAATAATGTAAAAAAGAAGTGAGCAATTGTTTTGCTCCGGTTCACCCCAACCTTGAATACCCAAATCGGCTGCGTCAAAACAATGGCTAGCTTAAAAAGAGGAGTTATCAAATGGTCTTGACCAGTTGTACGACGGTTTATGCGTAATTGTTCCGCAGCGTTTTCTCTCCCCCCCTTTCCCTAACCCTGGGCAGGTTGGGGATGTTATCATGCCATGGCATGTCCACCCCCGGGTGTGGTCCATGGGGTGAAACCCCTAAATAATGTAAAAAAGAAGTGAGCAATTGTTTTGCTCCGGTTCACCCCAACCTTGAATACCCAAATCGGCTGCGTCAAAACAATGGCTAGCTTAAATATATATATATATATATCCATCAACGCCAGCGATTTTGGTGTTCACCTGGGGCTCCCATGTTTTTTTAATGGAAAAATTACCCACGGCCACGAGAAAGAAACCGGAGTTACACCGAACTTGGACCCCTTATATACATATATAATGTATAATATATTAACCTAAGCTGGCCCCTGTTTGTTTCCGTTGTCAACGTTCAAGCCTCCAAGTCGTGTCATTCTGAACATCTCTGAGGAAGTCGACTGTCTCTCAGTTCACGCTCCAGCAGCAACAGCAGTGGCCGACACTGGGCTGGATCATGGGCTGTAATAACCAGGTGGGGGTACCTTAAAAATGGAAGGTTTATATATATATATATTATTTGTTATATATTATATTATATATATATATGTATATATACGTGTGTGTGTGTGTTTTGAAAAAAATGATTGAAATGGATGAGTAGTTTGCCTTACTTGAAGTTTTTTTTTGGGTCATTGTTTTGGGGTCAAACCCTTGGGGGACCCCAGTGGAATCCATTCCGAAGCCCCCACGGGACGATCGATGAAAAGGGCCAGTTATATGTGGGTGAAAACAGTATGGCTACCCTCTGGTTATGTCAAAATAACTATGGAAAATCCCACCCATTTTTAATGGGAAAACTCACTATTTCGACTGGGCCATTTTCAATAGCTATGTTAAATTACCAGAGGGTATAACCTGGTCATCTAGGTTGTTCACAGGCTTGGGATGGGTCATCGTTTGGGCATTATCATTGGCAATTATCGTGATCCCATGACCACGTGACCACATCCTCATATATTGGGAATCTCCAGTGTTGGTACCTGGTTTTTCTCCCCTCTGGGAGGGTGCTGATAGGCAATTTCAACGGCTCAAAGCCCAGCCATGAAGGTAACTGTGGCATTCAAAACCTCCATTCTCCTCCAAGAAGTGACCCAATGACCCAATGAAGATACGTTCTGAGCCCTTGTTTGGAAGTTACCCTCTGGTAAACAAACAGTTAGCTATTGAAAATGGTCATTGAAATTTTTGATTTACCCATCAAAAATGGTGATTTTCCATCTTTTTGTATGTTTACCAGAGGGTACGCCTTTGTTGTTCGCAAACGAGAGTCTATAACGGTCACCCTTTGCAAGTCCACTTGAAGCCATCCGATTGGTTCGAGGGGAAATTTACAGGAACCACACATGATTTTTTTATGGTAAAAACCAATGGGTTTCCGGTGTAGATTTTTCCCGACCAACCAATCCAATGAACATTGGCAACCTGAATTTCCAGAAACTTCAGGGGCAAACTCACCAGACTTTGGCACCGAAATCCCTTCTGAGGGCAATTGGACCTGGAGAAACTGTGCCTTGGCGCTATCCCCTTAAAAAAGGGTAACCTTGGTGAATGGGGGAAAAGATTTATCATTTGTAGTTTTCCTAAGTCAAGGGGGTACCCTCAAATCATCCATTTGATTTTCGGATTTTCCATAAACCATCCATAAATAGGGTTACCCACATTTATGGAAACTTCCACCAGCGAAAGGTAAGAGCACTGAGTGGTTGAGCCGGTGTTCTCTCGACAAGTGGACTTATCGTGGCCTACTTTTGAAAACACGAGTTAGATGAAACTTAGCGATGGAAAAATCACGGTTTTAATTAGTAGATCATCCATAGATCATCCATACATATCAATGGTAAACCAGCCCACAAGTTACAACTGACCCAGTTAAGACCCAGAAAAACTACTGTGGGACGAACCACAGAAAACCATGACAATCAATGGGTTGCTAAACCAATGGCTGAAACGGATGATAGTTCGGATGTCTTAGGATTATGTTTTATCCTCAAAAACTGGTACTAGCACCAGATGAAATTGAAGCTTGCAATCTGATGAGGATGGACGATGCTAGCACCGAGAATACAATACTGGGTGGTTGAAAGAACTTGGTGATCTATTTATGATTATTTATGTATATTATGCGATATGTTGATCTTTGGTTTGCATGGGTCGATATAAATGGCTTGCAATTTTGCAATGCTTTCATTAAGATCTATTCATGATTTGGGTTCCCATTTTTCTTAAGGCTATTTATGACTTCGGACGGGAATCAACTGCTCAAGTGATGGTGCACGTTCAGGAAGAGTCTGGAGAAGGTCAATGTCATCATTGATGTTGGGAGTCTTGGACGGTATGATGCAGCAACCAACCTTGATGACTTACCTGGAAATCCGTAGTTGCCTATTGACTATTGTTTCATTCTACTTTGGCCTAGTAGCCTATTTTTGTGGCACTTTGCAATTCTCACTTGAAAGAAAGGTACTTCATTTTTTGCTGCAAAAATGAACCGTAAACGTGCCGTACATGTCCGTAAAGTGCCATAAATACGCGTAGAAATCCTACTCCTGCAACGGAACATGTTCCAGTGACCCAAATTCTGGGCACTTTGTAGAGTGCCCTAAGCAATGGGCACAAGGCTTTCCAGGTACCCAACTTACCTGCATCATGGCTCAATCCTTAAGTTGGTGAACATCGCTAGCTGCTAGCTGAAGTGTTATGTTTGTTTGGTTTTTGTAGATGTAAGATGATATAACATGATATAACTGCAGTTAGATGTGTGAAACCAGGCCAAGTCATAACTACACGGCTGGGGGGAGCCACCTTCTGGGGGTCAATATCCCAAAATCATCCGGGGCTTTCATTTGTTTGGGTAAATATTCTATAGTAACTTTTCTGCGGTGACCGAACCCGGGTAAATCATAGTTAGGATTCGGGGAATCATCCCCATAGCTGGCCGCAAGTTTAACAGGTTTCCTTTCTTGATAATTCGCCCAGATCTGTAACTAGTTTGGGGTCCTGAGATGTTTTGATGTTCTGTGCCATGGAACGCACGAGCAGTAGACAGGCCCAGAGGGGCACAGGGGATGCACGAAGAATTGCCAAACTGGGACGGGCATTCCGAGAAAAACAACATGTCAAAGCTGGCAATATTTTTTGTCTAGCCTTTTTTAATGGGTTGTTCAAAAAAAAATGGGTTGTTCATGATCGTGTTCCAGTAACTAAGACAAATCATGAGCTTTGCAGTAAAACTTGATCTCATCCAACCACACCATTTTATGATCTAGAAATGGTTATGTTTTTTTGGTTCATGTAACGTGTAGTTTATACCAAGATGCTTGCGCAAAACTTGCATTAATTGAGATGCATGGAATTCTTTTAGATCCTAAGTCCGTGACAAAGCTAATCGTGAAATATCAATCAATATCATATGTGTATAATTACTGTGTATATAGTTGTATATAGATAGATATATATATATATATGATATATATGTATATATTATATATATATATAGTATATATTATATATGTATATTATATATATATTATTTATATATATATATTTGTGTATACATCCATATGCATCCCATTTGGATCCATTTGGACACATTTGAAATGCACCCCCCCAGACCATAGATTCTATAGATCCTTCAACGGATTCCCAGCATTTGTTTGAGATGTCCATCACTATGTTGCTCACCGTTGGTTTATGAACAATATAAACCCATGAACATTATAGTTATATTCCCATATGCCATGTGTATATATATATACCCTCTGGTTATTTAACATAGCCATGGTATAGATGGTCCATTTATAGATGGTTTACCGTTCTTAAAAATGGGTGGATTTTCCATGGCGAACTGTTAGTCATAACCAGATGGTATATATTCCCCTTATTTTTACCATAGAAAATCACCCGTTACGTGACCTCTCCGATTCACTTTGGTCATGACGATCATGAAGCTTTAGATCTTTAGCACCCATCAGGATTGGTCCTATACTAAGCAGATGAGTTCACCTTGGACCCTAGTTATCTATGGATGAACCCTACTTATCCTGAAAAAAAGCAAGGGTAAAGAAAGTCACCCCCAAATTCATTGGAAAAATCTTCGCCGGACACCCATGGTTAAAATTTTCTCATGGTTGGATCATGGGCCTTTCCGGCTTCAATTTCTGGACAATAGATGATTCCAAGGCACATTCGCCAGTGGTAACATGGTTTGCTGATGTTTGCTGGTGTGTTTTGTCCCATGAAAAACCTCCATTTATAGAGGAATTTCCATGGGAATTTCCCATTTAACACACATTAAATCGCCATTTTTCATGTTTTATGGATGTAAATGGAGGATTTCCCAGCCATGTTTCACTCCTTGTCGGATGAATAGTCATCATCCTGTTTCCACTCTGCCATAGCAGCAGCATAGGAAGGTGCGCTCACAGAATCTATCTATCAAACTACCTATCTAATCGAATCCAATCTAATTTAATGTATTCTAATCTAGTCCTGTCGAATTTCCGTCCCATCCCATCCCATCCCATCCCATCCCATCCCATCTATCTATCCATCTATCTATCCATCCATCCATCCATCTATCTATCTATCCATCCATCCATCCATCTATCCATCCATCCATCTATCCATCCATCTATCTATCTAGCTATCATTTATCTATCTATCTCTCTATCTATTTTCCTATCTTCTCCTCTCCGATCCTATCCAGCTATCCATATACAATCATATACACACACATGTATATATATATATACTGTATATCTATATATACTGTATATCTATATATATATATATACATATGAATATCTTGTGATTGGATGGTGTAACGTCAGGTAGCGTCAGCATGCGGAAACGCCACCTCTAAGGAGCTTTGAGGATGACTACATGATCCGATCCCTTAGCTTAACCTTCAACATCCCCGAGAATTGTGACATCAAACTCTTGCCCAACCTGATGGAATGGCTGAAACCCAATCACAGGTTCCGTTCCACGCTGGGCCGGGACAAATTTCGGGACTGGGTAAAACTGTCGTTTCGGGCTGGGTCGTTTCTGTGCAACATCTGATAGTATAATTAATTATGTTTCTTTTTGGATCAAGAATTTGCAATGTGCAAGTGCAAGTCCCTTGGTAAATGAATATAGATTCAAAAAGATGTATAGGTTAGAATCATCAAATCATGTGTGTGTCAATGATTCATGGAGAAAAAAGTCTTCTCGTTCTTGGGACCATTCGAATTATTGGACAAACAACAAAATCTCGATGACTTCACGATTCACGGCGACTGTGACTGGCTTAACTGGCTTAACATTGATCCAGATATATCCAGATCATTACCCATATGCAACCCATGGTGCTGGAATATTTACCAACATTTACCCTATAAATGGCCCAGTTTTGTAGGTAAATATACTATATATGCAGCATATGGGTTATGGTAGTTGAATGGTAGTTGAAGGATCCGGACCCCCTAATTCGAAGCCATTTTTATGGATCTCGAGGATTTTTTGTCTGCCATTGTTCACACCAACAGGTCATGGTCGAATTCTTGGCCAGCCAAGGTTTAATATCTAGGCATCCTGGCATCCTAGCGAAAACATAAGAATGTGGAAACCCCATGCTTTTCCAAGGAAGGTCAACTAGAAATAGTGTGTTTGTGAAATATCTACGTTAGTTTACAGAGCGGAATCAACCTGGCAACTATTCCGCGATGCTGATTTTGGGAGATGTAGACTTCAGTGACACGTTGGGTCAACTCACCCAATTGTTTTTGCCTACTTGGTGATGTCAAGCATGTTGTGTTCTCATGTGTTCTCCATCTTTTCATGGGAATGATGATGATGTCCTATTCTGCCCCTTAGCCAAAAATGATCCCAGCTGACCAAGATATTGGGGATATGTTGAAACTTGATGAAACTTCTGGATACAACTGGATTACAAGCCACCTAAGTACAAGGTGAGGCCCCTCAGTGATGTTAGTTGGCTATAGTTGGCTTATAAACCCACAAAAAACTAGACTTAACCTCTGGTAATTTAACATAGCTATTGAACATGGCCCAGTCGAAATCGTTGATTTACCCATTAATAGCACGGTGATTTTCTACAGCAAACTGCTCCTCCAGGAAAAAGGTCTCGGACTGGATTCAAGCCCATGCCAACGCCCAATATGCAGGGCGACCATGCAAGGCACATCAAGGGCCCCGAACGGCGAAACATATCCCATATACTCCATGTATGTATGGTATATTTACCTACAAAACTGGGTGATTTTTAGGGCAAATGTTGATAAATATTCCATACATGGAGCATATGGGTATGGATTTTGTTACGAAAAATCCGTGGTTTATCCTCTGGTAAACGTTAACAAACAACGATGGAAAGATCCACCATGCTTTTTTCATGGTTTTTTTTCAACGATTTCGCCTGGGCCATGTGGTGTTCCTGCTGTTGGGACTCCTGCTGCTCGAGCTTGCTCTACCAGTTGTAGTCTCTGGTCCACTGTGACTAGACCCTGCTGCATTTGTGCTGTCGAACTCTGCTGAGCTCCTTCCAAACCTTGTACCCGCGTGGTGAGTCCTTGCAGAATTCCTGTGATGCTCTGTAAGGACTGTCTCAACTCCTCCGCGTCCATGCCAGCTCGCAAACTGTTTCAACGTCATTTTACCAGGCCGGGTATCTTTCGAAATCCCCGAAGTGAATAGAGATGTTCATGGGAAAATCATCTACCCGGCCTGGTAAACTAACAGTTTGCTATTGAAAATGGCCATAGAAATAGTGAGTTTTCCCATTAAAAATTGTGATTTTCCATAGTTAGTTGTATGTTTACCAGAGGGAATTTGCTTTGATTCAAATTGGGAAAAGTCCAGCAAACTATGTTTAATTACTGGAGGGTATCTCCAGTCCTCATGAAAAAAGTGGGAGAGATTATGAAGAATTAAGCTGTCTTATTTTCTTTTGTCATTATCTAACTTACCATTTAGTTGTTATATGTTCTTATTATGCTTTTTGGAGGGTGAATGTGGTAAACGCAATATTGAACCTCCAATTGAGGATGCCTATTCACCACTTTTCTGGCAAAAATGGGGACACTGGCTATGCTATTTTATGTGTGCCACAGTACTAGAAATATCTAATGAAATATCTCATGTTCACATTCCCATATTTTAGTGAAGTTATATTATCCGGATGGGAAAGCACGTTATGTTCATCCCAAACCTTGTAATCAATCGGTGTTCATCCCATTCAACCACTCTTGATACATCCCGAGTGACTTCCACAGATGACTGGGACTGGTGGTTTGGAACCATGGAATTTTATGAATTCCATTTCGTAGATATTAATAGATGGGATGTCATCCGAAACCCATTGACGAACTGACTTTTATATTTTTCAAGATGGTGAAATTGCACCACCAACCAGATGATATAACCCTGAAAAAAATCAATGTCAAGTTGTGTGTGAGTTGCAAATCCTCAGAGTTTTCTACGAAATTCACGAAGGGCTGATGCAAAGCTTGTGACTGCGTAGTAGTTGAAATTGCAAAGACCATATTGAAATAACTTGGAATACGCGTTGGAATTGGAAATTAGAATATCCAAATTGAATAAGAATCGGCTTTTTCGAACTGGAATTGGAATTGAAGTAGGACTTCTAATTAATTGGAATTCAACTAAAAGATATTAAACTTATTGATAGTTGTAGCCGATCAGTGACGCGACCCGAGCAGGGAGTTTTGCTCGGTGGTGTTTCACACTTCTTCCATTGTGAAACAATCCATTCACACCTTTAGGGCCCGGAAACTGCAACTATAAACCATTTATAAAAGGTTCGGTTATTTCGCTGGTTAATCTTAGATGGGTAGAAACTAATCCTGAATAGTCTATTATTTTGTATGGGATTATCTACGTTCACCAGCTAAGAACCTGTCATTTGTTGTAGGGTATCTGATTGGCCATGGAAACCACACATCTTGAAGTCCCGCTGACATGGTTCAACTATGTTCAACTGCTTCGATCGATAGATTTCATGATTGGATGATGGGAAACTGACCGGCAAGCCATCCATTGAAAAACCTCCCAATGGAACCAAACTCACCACGAGAGATAGGATCTCAGTTGGTTTATAGCTTGATCAACTGTGGTTTATGAATGTTTATGGGACATAATCACATGGTTATTCACATGAGATGTCTATTCAGATTATAGAATGATGATACGGTTTTTCTGGGCCAGCGAAATCCAAATCACCAGTTGATAGATGGTAAATATCCCATTGTTTATACAAGGTGGTGCCCCCCAAACGTTAAAAAATTGTTTATAAACCCCATGAATATTATAGATATATCACCAACAAAAACCATAGTTATTGGAGTTATATTCACCAACTGAACGCTATCGAACGGGCACCACCTTGTAGGGTTTCTGGCCCATCCCAAATTGCTGGTGCAGTCGGATTTTGGCCGCCAGCCCATCCCTTGTGGCTCTGTGGCGGCTGTGAGGAACCATCCTTGCGGGGTACCAAGCTGACCTCGCCCTTTCCCTCCACCAACACCTTGTTGGTGGGCGAATTGAAATTCGCCGGCGTTTCAGCACCTTGGATTTGGACAATTTTGAGTTGGCCGCGCAGAGTTTTCAGGAAATTCACTGACTGATGGAACCTGAAATCACTGACAACCAGGCATTCAACCAATGACTAACTGCTGCTGGTGTGGTTTGGATGTGCCGGGATATTCGTGATGCCCAGTAGAATGGAAGCCTGGGATTCCAAATCGCTGAGCCAAACCACCAGCTACAGTTATAACAATTGGCTGAGTTTTCTTTTACGAGGCATCATGAGGCATCCATAGCTTTGCCAGAATAGGCTCTGGCATGCTGCTTCGACCGACCCCATGAGCATTTGGGATATTTGCCTGGCGTATTCAAGTTTGGGATGAAACATGGGAGGCTTCACCGTGTCTAAAATCAGTTTTTCCATAGTTTCCCATAGTTTCCAACATTCCCGAGACAGTGAATATGGGGGTGTCCTAAAATGGGGGTATCCCCAAACCATCCACTTTAGATTGGGATTTTCCATCAAAAACACCATCCATAGTGGGGTACCTCCATGACTAAACCCGCATATAAAGCTCCCTGGTTGGTGGTTTCAAACATTTGTTATTGTCCATAATATGGGATAATCCTTCCCATTGACTAATATTTTTCAAGATGGTTAAAACCACCAACCAGCTCCCATCACCAGCGAAAACTGGGCTCGAGGACGTCTTCCCTGAAGGAAGGGTGAGAAGTCCAAAGGTACTGAGTCCGAAGAGCGTCTCCAGCGCGACCCGACTGCAGGGGTAGCCCCCAGCTATGCTCACTATAAATTGCCATTTTCAATAGCTATGTTAAATTACCAGAGGGTATAAATGCCTCACAGGATCCAGACTTGTGCTTGCTTAGATTACTTTTTCCGCCAGTTGTTGGATTCGCGAAAACCGGCAGTCTATGAACCCCAATCAAAGATTGCAAGGGAAGTCTAGATGTTTCACCAACAATACCAGTGTCATCAGTGTCATAAGTCTACACCCAGCCATTTATACAGTATAAATTCCCTTTTTTCAAAACCCTAATGAATGGCTGGTTGATGGTTTGGAACATGTTTTTCCATTCAGTTGGGAATTTCATCATCCCAACTGACGAACTCATATTTTTCAGAGGGGTAGGGCTCAACCACCAATCAGTTAATATACATCATAATCCATCATACCCTCTGGTAATTTAACATAGCTATTGAAAAGTTGCCATTGAGTTCGTTGATTTTCCTATTAAATATGGTGATGTTCCATGTTCATGGGTGTTTCACACTTTGCGGTGTAAAGTCGTAGTGAAACTGGCTGTGCCATCTTGGTGCCCCGTCCAAGGTGAGCTCGGGTGGCGAAATGTGTCTCGGGTAAACTTAGAAAAAACTATGGGAAATGGCCCATTTAGTTCGTTGATTTACCCATGAAAAGTGGTGATTTTCCATAGCTATGTTAGTTTACCAGAGGGTAGCCGATTGTTGTCAATCTGAAGAAACTGATACAGTAATTACTGATACACTGAAAAATCAGAGTTTTAAAGCTTATTTTTTTTAAAAAAAAACATAGATTGATCTTGATCAGGAAGGATAAAGAAGCATCTGCACATTGCGTGCAATGGATATAGGTCGTGCATAATGTTTTATACCTTATAAGTTGCGTTTTGAGGGGCCCAAAGATTAGTTTTATGTGATCAGTGGGAATGTAAGCAAGCAAATACGGTCACTTGGACTTCAATAGTATGTGAAAAGCAACAAGCAAGAGTTTTTACCGGAGAGTATTTGCCACCTATTATATAACCTTCTAATATATAGTTGGTTATATATCCCATTATATAAATAGTTCCAATGAGATCAATACTGGAATTTTATATCCCATCCTATATCCTTTACAGCATACTATCATTAAATCTCCATGTTGGAATGCTAAAAATATGATAGTAATAGTACATATAATGTAGCATAGTTTGCCATCATAAGAAATATTATATATAGATCTACATAGTATCCATTTAAAATACTATAGTATAAAGATGTACTACAAAAAAATATAGCTGGTTATATACCATATAATATTAGTATAAAAATGTACTGTTAATAGTATAGCATCTCCATGTTGAACGGTTCATAATGTTGGTAAAACAATGCCATAAACCATCCCCAATTTCACCATGTTTATAGGTGGTATGGTTACCATTCCCAGTCATGGGTTGTTTATGGCATTGTTTTAAGTCGACTTTACTAATATTCCTATGATTTTTCCATACAGGATAGTATAGAAAATATGCTATCGTCTCCATGTTGAAAGTATATGAACTTGGAGTTGCGTCAGCTGTACGCCCATTGAGTCGTACGCCCATGCCTAGACATGCACCCGAGACATGCACCCGAGACATGCAGTTTTTGGATGTTTTTGGGGTATCTTAGGGTCATCATTTTCCATGAATATCCAGAATATCCAGAACTTCCATCGAATTTCGATCGGATTTCCAAGAAATCCCATTCGAAACTAGAATGAATCATAGAATTTCATCATGAATTTTCCGGGAAAAAAAAGCCTCCGAAAAATCAGCATGGTTCATGGCGAAATCCCAAGAATCTCCCAGGATTTCTGTACGTCCGAGCTGGATCTAACTGGTGTTGTTTCACCCAAAACTAAGTGGGATAATGCACCCGCGAGCCTTGGCTTATCCAAGAATTTCTGGTTTAGGATTGCCGGTAGTCAAGTGCAATGGGCAATCCCTTGTTTATCTGGTTTGTGGTTTGGAACGTGTTCATTTGTCCATATATTGGGAAGAATCATCCCAACTGACTAATATTTTTCAGAGGGGTTGAAACCACTAACCAGTTATGAATGAGTTTCCCACTAGAACCTCTAAGTACTGTATAGGGATTTCTCATTCACATTTGCTGTGGTTGATATCTAAGATTGGCCATATGGTAGTTGGACAAAACTGCTCCTATTGTTTACGGTCGCAATGTTCATTGTGGTCACACGTACTATGTGTGTTTTTGTTGCTGTACTACCTCGTTCGTGTTTTGATGTTTCTTGCTAGCATCATCATTTTCAGGATCACGATCATGATTATTGACAATACGGTGGATGATCCACAGTATGTTTTACAATGATTATGTTGGTCTTCCTGTCTACGTAGTTTTATCATGATCTTGCAGGTTGCTCTGAAATAGTTCTTCGATTCCTTAAAGAACTTGAATAACCATGACTTCACGGGAGCTTTTTTGTGTGTCGCCCCACAAAAAGGTCCCCCTGATAATCCTTGGGCGGGTGGCTGGTCCATGTGGTCTGTGTCACAGTTGCGCAAACGGCGTGGCTTTATGTGTCGAGCCGAGAAAAGCGGGCCCTTTTAAAGCTGGGCAATGCCCAGGCCACGAGCCGAGTCGCGAATGGCTTCTGGAAATTTATGGCGACCACAGACTTAAGATTTGCATATTTTGATATTTTGAGTAACTGTTCGATTTCCTGATGTGCCCAATTTCGACAAAACCCCGCCAAATGATGATTTGGATTTTTTGGTGGTAAGCAGCCAAAAAAATATCAACCATTCCGAGGTTACTATCTAAAACTATCTACATAATCCGCTAAGTAAGGTATATAGACATATAGACACTATACATAGACACCTTCTTTGGGATCCAAATCTAGATGATTTTTTGGTCTTCATCCCAATGGAGGGATTTCATTGAAGAGCAAGCTGAATGCAGGATTTACAGCATCTATGTTTGTTTTTGGATTTATTTAGAAATGCAGCGTTTGCTTGTGGAACGATCTCACAGAGTTACCTACTAGATGTTTTGAAGAAGTTAGAATTTGCCATCAAAAGATGTCATGATATTTCTAGAGTTTACATTAAGAACTGCATCTCCAATTTCCTAATGTGTAAACACTTTGGACTTTGGACCATGAAAACGCAAACTAAATGCAGCATTATCCAGGCATATTGCCTAGATTTGGTGAAAGATTGCTCAGGAAATTGTGGCGTTTAGACAAAGGGCGGAACATCAAAGGGACGACAAAAGGATGACTTGATGACTTCCCAAATGCCGCGTTTACATTGGGGTATGCACTAAAGGGACGTGGAGGGATTACAGTGTCCTCTTACTGTATATTCACTATATATAGACAACACAATAGTTCCATAGGGCGATGAACCTTTCAACGCCAGGCATTTCATAACAGTTGATGCGGGTGGTTATGTTTGGTGCTGTTCCAACTGTGCCACCAATAGTGAAGGGAGATTAGCAACTGTGGGGAGATTAGCAACAGGCTTGATGGCATGTAATCCTTAATTATGTTTAGGATTATACCGTATAATTAGCCCATGGCAATCCCCCAAAGATGGAAAACGTGTTTCCAGAGGCTTCTGGGATTTTCTACTTCCCATATTCCGAGGTTCCCAACTTTTCGATGATGCAAAAAAGTTGTGTTGTTACCATCAAGGCGGCCTTTTTTGGAGAACCCCTATGATGCTCCCAGGCGATTACAGAAGGTTCTGGGCATGGCTCAGCGCGTTACTTTTGTAAAGAAAATGCTGGCCCAAAAGGCTTTACTCTCAGAGAACATATGGACATGGCTCAAGCATTGGGGCACCCATGTGCCGTGCTTGAGCAGTGACCAAAGCCTTGCTTGATTGGTTATCAATGGTTTTTTTGAATTGTTTTTTGAATGGTTATAAATGGCTTTAATACAAAGATATTTCTAGGGGCGTGTACTGCCCAAGATATCAAGGAATATCCTCTGGTTATTTAACAGTTCGCCATGGAAAATCACCCATAGAAAGTTCGATGGGATACCGTTCTCAAAATGGGCAATGTTCATCCATTTTCCATGACGAACTGTTAGTCATAACCTATCCGGGTATCATAACCCATGAGCTGTGAACTGTTCTTTTGATCCAGCGGAATCCGGGATGTGTCGGATTTTTTTAACACATTATTACTAATAGAATCTTAGAATATTATATATAGAATTCACTGGGATAAATATATATATATATATAATTATATACATATATATATATTATACATTATGATATTTCCATTTTTTAATATAGAATACAGACTGGGATATGTTGATCCACCATTTGGAATCTAAGGTTAGAATTTGACATAATTTGACGTTGAGACAGTAGGTACACCTAGACCAACCTGCATGCGTAGATATTACAT